GTACTGGTGGGCTGCATGCTCACAAACCTCCTCTCATCAGAGCTCCTTGCTGCTCGGCTCTGTCTGCACTGTTTGTCTTCTGCCATCAACTTAAGTCCAAAAGAAACCTGTCCCTTGCAGTTCTTCCCTTTAATTCCTCCCACTTCCTTGTACCTGTACGTTTGTTCTGTTTTCCTAATTATGCTCTAGTTTTACATAATGTCCTGTTAAGGATTAAGTTGCCCGAGGATCTCCTGTCCTGCCTGGCAGGCCACAGGTGTGTCCTCTCTGGGTGCTGAGTCGGCGTCTGCTGGTGCCAGGACAGGTGTCTCCTGTCCCTGTTGGTCACGACTGCTTTAAAAACAGAGTAAGGGCTTTTTTTATCAGGCAAAGTGAAACCTGACAGGGCTTCTCATGGGAATTTTATCTTGGTTGCCATTTGGGCACTCTGGATGCCAGCTGTGCTCTCAGCCTGGCGCCTGCCAGCGTTTGAGGCTGAGGGTGTGTTTCTCAGTGTCTCTCTGCAGCTCTGACAGTTAGAACTGTTTCAGCGAGGTGCACAGTGGACTGAAACAGAAAAGCCTTGTCCAGTAAGGGATAAAGAAGGAGCTGGATGGAAACTGGAGGGCTGAATTTGGTGTCCAGGGGCGATGGTTTCTGTCTCCCCGCGGCTGCTGCGCTCTCTGCTGCGCGGGGAGGGCGCTGGGGCTGCTGGAGCTGTGCTGGTCGTGGGGCCCCAGCAGGAGCCCCAGGCTGGCTCTTCAGAGTCTGCAGCAGGGGTGGCAGGGGCTGGGCCAGCCTCCTGTCACTGTCCTCCCCCTGGGGCAGCGGGCAGGGCTGAGCTGTAGTCCTGCCGCCAGGGTGATTGTGTTGTGTGGAATCTTAATGGGCAGAAGGTTGTCAGCAAAGGAGGTTGTGTCACCTAAAAGCTCCAGAACAATGTCGTGGTTCTGTGCTGTCGTTTTACAGCAGTAGTGGTCTGCATTGTTCACTTTGTTAGGTAAGGTGGAACCAAGACCTCCTGTCTGTGCAGTGTGAGGAGGCAGCTCCTGCATCCCTGGCACTGCTGTTAACTGAACAGGGAGCTAACTGTCTGCCCAAAATGCACTTAGTTCTGCCACCTGAATGGGATGTGAGCAGTGGCTGCCTTGTGAAATGATTCACAGCTGCTGTAATTGCCAAAATCCATTTGTAGACTCTGAGGGCCTGTGCAGTTGTTTTAAATGGTACAGGTGGGACTGCCTACTGAGTGACACATGGGAAAAGGCTCATGCCTCAGAGCTTCTCAGCACACTACAAAGTTGTGGCAGAGCTGGGAGTAGAACCCAGATTTCATGGCTCCTCTCTGCATCTTCTAACGCCCTTAAGCCCTTTTTCCCTTTGGAATGTATCTGTCTTTGAATTTTACTTGGATTTGTCATGTTATATCCGTGCAGCTTCACTGTCACAGAGCTTTTCTAACAAGAAAACTTGAATGAACTCCTTTTGACACGTCTTTCTTGAATGTCTTTGTTACTGTTTGTAATTTGCAGGTGAAGCCTAATTATTAATTTTGTTGGATTTTCTCTCTTCCTTCTTTCAGCCGAGTGGTTTTACCGTGCTCAGTGCAGGAGGTATGTCCTCATCCAGCCTGCTTTTCTTTTGGGGTGGTGGGGGAGGACGGGCATGTCTCATTTAGACCTGAACAGCCCGGATCCAAACGCTGTGCCCCCTGGTCTGCCACAGGTGAGTGACCCTGGGGTGGGTTTCCAGGGAGGCAGGTGCCTGCAGGGCACCGTGGGCTGCTCCTGGGCCACTCTGCACTGCAGCACTCCTGCTGATGGAGGCACCCAGCCACTCCAGGCCTTCTGGAGGCAGGGGTAGGAATCCTCTTCCAAGACATGAAGTCACCACCTGAAGTGGCAGTGCCACGCATTTAAATCAGTCACAACAGGATGTCTGCTCAGGCTCCTGGGGGAGATGTGCCTGCTTGCTGTCACACTTTGCATCGCACGGGTCCCGGGAGGGCAGAATCCAGTTAGTTAAAAGTGTGAGTCTGGGGAGCCCAGGGGTGTAAATCAGTCACTGCAAGATCTGTAAACTAAGAATTCTGTTTCTGTTTGACAATTAAGAACAAGGCAGATGCTTCACTTGTAGGATGAGGCAGACGAGGCACGGGGTGTTGCTGTGCTGTGGCACAGCCCTGCAGCACAGGGACACAGTCTGGTCACAGGCTGCTGCTGGGCAGCCAGGTAAACTTGGCCAGCAGATTGTTATGCTTTACTAAATATTTTTTATATAAGTATATTTTACTTTCCTGATAATTCTGCTTGTGCTACCAGCTTTTCACTAGATACAGCTAGATGTTTGATGCATTTAAAGTTTTGGCTGTCTTTAATAGTGAAATTTTACTTCTCTTAACTTTTCAGTATCAAGTTGGGCAACTTTATTCTGTGGCAGAAGCTAGCAAAAATGAAACGGGAGGTGGTGAAGGAATTCAAGTCTTAAAAAATGAGCCTTATGAAAAGGATGGCGAGAAGGGACAATACACTCACAAAATCTATCATTTAAAGAGGTGAGGAAAACATTGATACATACTATGGTGGCTTGCTGTTGAGCAGGAAGTGTGTGAAAGTGGGGGCAGCCTTCCACTGTTGTCTGTTCTGGGGTGTTCTGTTTTCCTAGCACTTTAGTTTGCTGAACTGTGCATGGATGCTGTGGTGAGTGGGAAATACATGAAATAAAGTGAATTTGAATTGTCTGGGGTAGAGTAGTGGAGACCTGTGAAAAATGTCCTACCTGTGAACTGGCAAATGCAGCTCTGAGAAGGAATAATTTGAATTCAGATTGTATAGCTGAAATGGCAGAGTGGTATCCCAGATGCTTTGTAGGATATCCACAAGGACAGGAGTGTTGGTATAGAAGTATAGACAAAAGGGTGAGTAGTTAAAAGGAGAATTATTTTTATTCTGATCTGATATTTAAGAAAGTTGCTACTGCCTGAATGCTCTTTAAAAACACACTGAGGCATCACACAAGTTTCTGTGGTGTGGTAATGTTTTCTTTTGTGAAAGAGAGTGAATAAGTTAAAGAATATTTTCAGAAGTTGTATTTCAGAGTTGGTAAAACCTGGATTATTTGGAAAACTGTCCCAAATGGGACCTGAACCTCTAGGGATGAGCAGTCAGAGGGCTGCAGCACTGTAAAGGCAGCTAGGGTTTGTAATATGCTGTCAAGTTGTGAAGGATTAGTATGCCAAATGTTTATAACTGGGGAAAAAAGATGTAAAAAGTTGAAGAACAGCATATATTTACAGCTGGCTGGCACAAAGGCGACGTGGGAATCAGTGCTGACAGCAGTGCTGTTCAGGAGCACTGGCATGTTTAGTGCCAGCTGTGCCAGTGAACATGAAGGCAAAGGTTCCTCAGGGCTGTGTTGTGTAGGATCATAACTCCCCTTGGCTGGCTTTGGGCAATGGACTTTCAGTGTGCACAAACTAGAGAGGAACTCGAGGGTAGAAAGAAGTGTGGGCAGCAGGACCTGCACTGAAGAGCTGGAAGAATTGTGTCTGTTTGCTCTAGAAAAAGAGAAGTCCCAGATGGGTGGGGCATAAAGTTCCTGCAGTGTAAAAAGGAATCGTTAGTTGGCTTTTCTCCTTGAATCTAAAGGAAAAAAGGACAGGAACTTGCAATCCTTGCAGAAAAATTGAGGGTGGAGTGTTTACACAGATTAAATTCTCTGTCCACCCCTTACACACACGTGTACATGTCATTTGTTTAAACTCACGTACTGAAGGGCACCAGCCTCAGGTATTCTCCCAGGTAACACCAAATTTCTCTTGTATGAGATTTTCTTTTTTCCCAAGCATCCAGTTTTGGGCAACTGCCATGAGCACTGTGCTGGAGCAGGGGGGCAGTGGTTACCAGGGGGGTGGTGCTCCTGGGGCAGGTGGAGCAGCTCCTGCCCAGGCTGTGGCCACAGCGGGCGCTGGCTGCACCACGGAGCAGCTGGCAGCTCTGCTGGAGAGCCTGGGGGCAAGGCCTCTTGGGCAGCACTCTCCCTCAACAGTTGTCTTTGCTGTTCTTGAAGAGAAAGGAGGAGGCAGCTTTCGTGGTGATCCTCGTGCTTCCAAAGCTATGTCTAGCTTATTCTCAATTATCTCATTACCTTCTCCCTTCTTTCTCTTAGTTGTTTTGTGATCAGTAACGTCGCTGGAGCTCCTGCAGATTGAGCTGTGGATAACTTCTACATCATAACCTTGAAAGTGTTTAGGTGGAACGTGCTTTACTTGTTGGAGTGGAAGAAATTATTGAGGAATTTTAGCTGGCAGTGATTTTAACAATGCCATCAACATCTGTTTTTTCACAGTAAGGTTCCTGGTTTTGTGAGGATGATTGCTCCAGAGGGCTCCCTGGTGTTCCACGAGAAGGCCTGGAATGCCTACCCCTACTGTAGGACAAGTAGGTCTCCTGTCAGTGTTCTGTTGAGGGGTGCTCTTAACTGGTTTAGGAGAAAAGAGGGTATCATCAAGTGGGAAATCCATTTCAAATTTTAATGTTGCATTTGTGAGATCTCCTCTTATGAAAAGGAGAGTTGCTTCTGAAGAGCAACCACAGCAGACCAGTTTACTGGTTCCTGCAGCACTGGTGTCCAGAGGAAGGGTCTAGAAGAGAGCCTGTTTGAATAGCATTTAGTTCTTTATAGTCTGTTAGAGTAAGGTGGCTGCTTTATTTTAGTACTTTTAGCTGTGTAAGTTTTAAGAGGAGGTTCTGTGTCCTTTGGTTTGTTTTGGGTTTTTTTTTTTGAATAATTTGAAGTATATTGTAATGAACTTCTAAGGTTAAGGCCAAGGAGGCAAAGCCT